AACTGACAAAAAGTGGTTAACCGGAAGGAGAAAAGAGATGGTTTTAACCGATAAACGGTGATCAACCAAAGACGGGTGCAGAACCAAGAGAAGGTTGTGACTCAAAGAATGGGTGTGAAACCAAGCAAAGGTTGTGACTCAAAGAACGGGTATGGAACCAAGCGAAGGTTGTGACCCAAAGAACAGGTGTGGAACCAAGCGAAGGTTGTGACCTAAATAACGGGTGTGAAACTAAGCGAAGGTTGTGACCCAAAGAACGGGTGTGGAACCAAGCAAAGGTTGTGACCCAAAGAATGGTACATTGACTGAACAAACGGCGCTTGACCAAAGGAAAGGGTATTCGAACCGAAAAAAGGTTACTAACCTAAAGCTGACAGTATTTGAACCAAAGAAAGGTTGCTAATTGCAGGGGATTCGGTGCTTAACAAATGGGTTGTGATTAACCGGAAAGAATGAGTGATTAACCAAAAGAAGGTGATTAAATCAAAAGAAACTCAGTATCTTAACAGACGGATTATGGTTAACTAAGAAAAAGGGTGATTGGTTTAAACAGGCGGACTATGATTGACCAAAATGCGGGTGATTAACCAAGAGAAGGTGATTAACCCAAAGAAAAAGCTAGTTTTAACGGGCGGACCATGAACAACCAAAGATCGGGTGATTAGCCGGAAGAAGGCGATTAACCCAAAGAAAATTTTGTATTAACAGACGGACTGTAATTAACTGAGAAAAAGAGTAAACTGGGGTTTAACTATCAGACAATGATTAACCAAATAAGAAGGAGAGATAACCAAGAGAAGGTTGTGAACTCTGATGGGCATTGGGTGTTAACAGGATGACTGTGTTAGCCGAAGAAGAAAGATTGACTTCGCTGGGGAAGAAGAGAATTAAGTTTTAAACCGAATGATGGTTAATCAACCTAGGAAATGAGTGATTACAAAACTCTAGAGGAACCAATAGGGGATTGGCCTCAAGAGAAAAGAGTGTCGAATTGAAAGGTGAGTGTTACTTCCAAAGAGGAAATAGGGGTGCAAGTGATCAAGGATCGATTCAACTGGAGAAAAAAAGGGATACTACATAAGGAGATAGAAGTGACTATTCCAGGCACAGGTTCATTCATCCCCTACCCAAAATAGTCAGAATGAGTGTAGGAATTCTCCACTCTCATTCCTTCTCTAACACCAAAGTGTGGTGCAAGAAACGAACGGACAGCACAACGACGCCAAGTTTGTACAGTGCTTCAATGCATTGTGAATCTTCAACTCCACGGGGGAAAATAGAGGACAAAGCTCTATACGATCCAAAGGAGAAATAAAAAAAGGGAGGATCAACTAATCGAAACGAAGTTTCGATTAATCAATCAAAAGGGGAAAATGCTAACAATTTTCCAAAGGGATGAAAAATCGTTGAAGCAAAGGATGAATTATCGATTGTACAAGATTAAGTTCATTCCAATGAGGAAGAAACTTAATGCAAACATGAATATAAGTGTAAAACAGTACCAAATGCAATTGGCATGCATCACGAATCATGTAGCATGTGATCAAAGAATGTGCAACAATGATCATGATCATAAAATGTCAAAATTGCAAATAATCAAGAATCTAAAAATGCGCATTGAAAATTTGCATGTATGCCTCAACCAAAAGGTGAACAGCTCATAAAACATACACAAATACCAAGCATATCAACCCAGGGAAGTTACATGAGGAAAGAATAGTAAGCAACCTTGAAAATAGGCAAAAATGGCCTTCTGTCACTGTGGTAACCGATTACCACATGCAGGTAATCGGTTACTTGCTTAAAAATGGCAAAACCACGTGATTTTTGTGCAGGTAACCGGTTACCACTGTGACAGTGGCAGAAATAACTTTTGGGAAAAACACTTTCAACAACCGAAAGACTTGTCCAATCATCCACATGCCATGATTAATGTTTGAGCACGAAAAATGAAGTTCCAAATCAATTGAGCATCAATTAAACATTAATTGAAAGCATTGAACATTAATTGAATTACCAACCTACAAGGAGGAGGATTGCCTTGGTGATTGTTGCTATTGATATGCGATGAGAAATAAGCTAAGAAACCCATAAAATTCTAAGCTTGAGATCAAACCGTAACGAAATCGAAGAAAACACGATAAATGCTCCGAATACCGAAGAAGCTTGAGATGATTACTTGAATTGGAGAAGAATCTACTGTAAATCCAGAAATCCAAGTGAGACTTTGGTGGAATGAGGTTTAGCTCAAGAGAATAACAATTTCGATGTGAAGATTGTTACACTCTAATGATGGAAATTGAGCTTTTGTGAGGGTTTTTAGGAGAGAGTGAAGATGAATGTGAAAATGTTGTAGAAAATTTAGAGATAATGTGAGAGAATTGAGAGTGAAGAATGTAGAAATTGAGGAAATGATTCAAGCCCCCTTGTGAAATGGTGGTGATTTGCTTATATAGAGTTTTTCTTCGGAGTTGCTAGGTTCGGAGTGAGCTTTGGATGTAACCTTGGAACTAGCCTTGCAGTTAGTTAGCCTCAACTCACTGAGTTGGAGGTTAACTTAGTTAGTTAGGTAATTAACTCGGTAACCATCCCAATGCAAACTTGAATATAAGGGCTTACATGCTTGGGAATGAAGCAACATGGTGGTCTTAATCCAAATTGATGTATTAAAGCAAATGCCTTGAAGTGTTTAGAAAGGTCTTAAAGTGTCTAGAGATGTCTAGAATATTCCACACAATGCTAGAACCAAGTAGACCCTCAAAATAGTAGAGTGAAAGTGGCGTCACACAAAATGCAGGAAAACTGCATTTTTGCACAGGGTAACCGGTTACCCTAAAGTGGTAACCGATTACCACAGGCAAAATTTGCATATTTTGCTTGCAAAATGGTGTTGTGGTCACGGTTCCGATTTTTAACCTTTTGCTTTGATCAATAGACATATAAACCTTCGTTTGTGCTTGTTTTGGTGATGTGATATCTTTGAGTGGATGTGATTAATCGGGCTTGAAAAGCATGAATATTTCGGTAAGAAAAATCACAGAGAAAAAGTGTGAATGTGTATGTCGGCGATGTGAATGCACATGCTTATGCAAAAGGAAAAATGGAGGTCAAATTTCGGGTTACGATAATTCCCAATCAATACATGTCCTTTTGAGATAGGTTCATCATTGCAAACTAGTCTCGTTGTGGACTCATGTGTCATGTTGCTTCTGAATCTACTATCCAACCATCAGTGAGTTGAATTTTTCCTTTGGTACTAATTGATGCTTCGCTGTAAAGAGTTTCTCCATCATCGGAGGTACTAGCAATACATCCTTGAGATGTACTTGCATTAGAAGACTTCTTACCATTCTTCTTGTTTAACCAACATTCTTTCTTCAAGTGCCCTCTCTTGGCACAATTGTAGCATTTGAGGCTTGTTCTTCTTTAAGATTTTGACTCCGAATGGGATCACGTTTCGTTGATATACCTCTCATAATCGTCAAAGTTTCTATTCGTTTTGAGCTTTCTTGTCGGTCTTCCTTATTTTTACGTCTAGATTCTTCTTCGAGAACAGCTTCGACAACATCATTAAAGGATATATGGTCAACAATATTATTGTTTGTAATATTGATGACGAGTTGATCATACAAATCTGGTAAACTCTGAAAAATAAGCTCTACTCGTTCATTTTTCACTATTGTGAAATCTGACGCAGATAGATGAGCAAATAATGTATTCAAATTGTTGATGTGATCTGGAACCGAAGTGGATTCATTCATTCGGAGTTAATGTAGAGTGACTTAACCCCGTACAGTTGGATGAGAGTATCCCAGATCTCCTTTGCAGTTTTCTTTTCTGCTATTCTTGACAAAACTGAATCTGCCATTGATAAGTGCAAATTGGCAACAACATTGTCATTCATCTCTCTCCATTTTTCATCAGTTATATATGTAGGTCTACCTTTAATTGCTGGTGAGTAATTATCCTTCCTCGGGATTGTCTGCGTCTTCAATTTCCATTGGGAGAAATTACTCCCATTGAATTTTTCAATCTCAAAATTTTCAGCTATTTTTTCACTGAGCTGGTTTACACAATTTCACTGTGAATAACACAGTATACGTGAGTAGTATTGTATATTGTTACCGCATACTAGAATAAATCAAGTATATGTTAACAATCTCTGCAAAAGTATACAATTACATGTGTGAGTAGTAATCGTACGCCGTAGCGGAAATAGAGACTGACACCAATAACTCTAATACAATTATTAAGTAACAGAGTAGCAAGATAAATACCACAAAAATAAGATATCAACGAGTAGAAAATTGACACAGAATATTTACGTGGAAAACCCTCAACAAATCAGGGAAAAACCACAGGCACCGTTAAAAAAGATTTTCACTAAGTAGAAGAAATTACAACACTTGTCTCTAAATACAAGAAGAGAACAAATTAACTCTCTCTTGTAATAGGAGAACACTCACTAAAATAACCTTATAGGAGAAAATATAATATATTCTTTCTCTCTAAGTTTTTCTTTTATATTATGTTGCACTGTTTTTTTAATTGTGTTATGAATAAGAAATGCACTTCTATTTGTAGGTCCTCATCTTCACAAAACCATTGGAGCGGTTACAAAACCATAGGTGCAAAACCATGGGCGTTGATTTCTTTGGTCCACAAATTGTGATTTTATTCAACCACAATCTTTAATCATAACCACAATATTTAACTATGACCACAATCTTTTATATATATATATATATATATATATATATATATATATATATATATATATATATATATATATATATATATATATATATATATATATATATATAATTTGTAGGAAAGATTTAATAATAAAGTAGATGTGGAGTAAAATAGTAGTGTATATATAAAGGCACATCCTAGAAGAGGAAGATGGGAAGAAAAAAAGGTAGAACCTAATTAGTCAACTTGTGTTCCAAATCTTGAAACATAGATCTATCCACCACATACTTAAAAAGAAGAAGAAGATGCCTTGCCTTTACATCACAACCAATCTTAACTTAGATGGAATTGACACTGATCCCATCTTTTCTGAAGCAACAACTGCTATCTCCCAAATTATCGGAAAACCCGAAAAGGTATTCTAATTTCTCTCTGTTTTTCATCTCAGCTTTATATGATTCTCAGTTTCTTTTTCTCCCAATCCTTTGTTGGGAGTTCAATTTTAGTTTTCTTTTTTTTGTTGGTTATGTTGATTCACTAGATTCTGGTAAGTTTTTATCCAAGTAATTTAAAAAGTGTTTAATTTAGATACCAAAGAAAAACAAACAGGTTTGGTTTCATAACCAATTATGTTAGTTATTGCCAGACAAAGTTGGGTGGTTTGGTTTGGGGAAGATAATGATTGCAGTGTTCTTTATCATTGTTCCCTTGAAAATAAAGAATAAATGTAAGTGTTTTGGAAAATGCTAAAAATAAGAAAATATAAAAAAACTAGAAATTTAAATTAATTTAAAGATAGCAAAAGACCATAAAAAATTTGTTATGATATGCGAAATCCAAAATATTTTAATAGTAATATAATATGACAATTATGAAATAGAAAATGTTAAGAGCAGGTGTATTAGTTTTTACTTAATAAAATAATGTTATTTAAAAAACTAGTATTGATTAAATATTACACTTTATTTTGTTTTTTATTATTAAAAACATTGATTTCTTATGTAATAATTTATGCCTTAGACTCATTTTAAAAAATATTTTTTAAGTGACTGTTTTTTTTTATTTTTTAGTATAATATTTATTTTGTTTTTAAATTATAAAATTTAATTAATATAATCTACATCATTTTTAAACAATTCCTTTCATTTTATATTATGATAAATATAAAATATAATATTCTATAATAAAAAATTGAAAAACACTATTTTTTTTTTCTTTTTATCATTTATATTCTTTTGGTAAATTATTTATTTTATTGAAAAATAAATATAATATTTTTTTTCACCATCAGTATACAATTCACTAAATCAACTAATTCAATTTAAGGATAGTTCTAACATTAAATAATTTCAAGTATCAAATCGTGGTTCTATGTAGCAAATTCAATGTCAATCATCACTGAAAATGTTTTATTAGAGTATTTTTGGAAAAAAATATATTAATGTTTGAAAGAATTTTTAAATGAATTATTGTCATGATTATTATTCTAAAAGTACAATTAAAAATTAAAAAGGATTTAATTGTTATGCACTAAAAATGTAAAAATGTTTTACACTATCATCCAATAAAAATATATTATTTTATCATATCATATAATTAACTTAAAATTTTTAAAATAATTTAATAAAATACATGATCGTCATTGATTAATTGATAATATAAATAAAAAAAATTACACTACCGGTGCATCGGCCTTTTTTTCCATACTTGAATTTATTTAAAAGGAATTTTAAATTCAATTATTTATAAGATTTTTAAATGGGATTCAGATTTTAACTGAGATGAAAATTCAGGTTTGATTACAATGTAAAAGGACATACTAAAATCTTGACGGTAATAAAAAAAAAAGGACAAATTGAAGTTTATATGATTCTGTCCCATCTGCATCACATGATTCATATGTATGCAAGAGTGGGAAACTCATCCAATTATTTCTTGACTTTGAAAATGTTTTTTAACTTGATCTATGACTTTATAACATTTTTAAAAAACAATTAATTCAATTAAATCTTTATATTATAGCGCTTTACTATTGAATGATTAATATAAATAAAACTTGGCAAAATTAAAATTCTTTCAAAAATATATACATACAAGATCAATTTAACATCATCTTACTAATCCAAAAATAATTTAGCAATTTATTCATCATATTTTACATGTTGTACTAATGAGGTTGTACCCTGAAATGTGAATGTGACTTTACACCTCCTTTCTTTGGGACCCCAGCATCAACACCATAATTATTTGTGTATTTGTGGTGCTTAGGAATGGTATGTCCGTCCTGTTTAGATCTGTTCTGCAAAAATAATAAGGTGGGACAGAGCAAACATAGTTAAAGAGGCTAATCTAAAATTTTAGTCTGTCATGTATAAAAGTGCGGGTGAGGCGACGGATCGGACCCGTTTTACCATCTCTGCTGGTACTACGTAAAGATAGTGTATTTTTTTGGTACAACTTTTAAGTGATTGTTTTGTAATTGTGCAGTTTGTGATGGTCCTATTGAAGTCATCAGTGCCAATATCATTTGAAGGTAACAAAAAACCAGCTGCTTTTGGTGAGATAATATCAATGGGTGGTATAGATAAACAAGTGAAGAAGAAACTAATTGATACTCTTGGCACTATATTGCAGTCAAAACTCTCTATTCCAAGAACACGTTTTTTTCTCAAAGTTTTTGATACCACTGCATTTCCTACACGCTCCAAAATTTAATGCTTTCATTGTTTTACAATAATCACAAAGATTGTACTCTAATAATAATCATTGTTTGACTTGAGTGTATTGTTAAACATTACTAGTAATAAATATTATGATGATCCGTTTTCTTTTTATTTTATTTTTACAATGCAAAAATAAAGTATCAATTTGTTTTTCGTTAAGAACAAGAACTCGTTTAGAAGAAAATGAAAACAATATTAAAATGATTTGATATTGGATGAAACAATTGAAGCTATTAAATAGTCTTTCAATCTTTGTATTTGTTAAAAAGTATAGAATGTGTGGCACCTTTATGTTGTTGGTAGAGGTGGCTAAAAAAATATTAGTGGTTAGAGTTTGCTCACGATAGTGAGAAATCCTATTCAGTGGTATTTTCGACTATAGAAAGAGCAAACTCACGTGAGGTTCAAAGTTTTATATTCTCTAGGTATTTTGTGGGTGTAATGAATCATCATTCCTCCTGCTAGGGATGTGGCATTTATATAGAGTTATGGACCTGGAGTTAGGGTCTCTCGGGAATGATAATCGTCCACTTAGTCATAGTAATGGGTTGTGAATCTCTACTTCCTAGGAAGACTCACTTTAGTGTGTCAACTTTGAATTCCCTCTAATCGAGAAGTGTATTTTCCCATGCTACCCACGATAGGACGATAGGGGGCATTAAAGGCGAGGTCGCCTCCAATCGCATACGTTTCCCACGACATCTCCACCCTTGACAGGTCTTTACAAATATATCACTATATAGTCCCTCGAGCATGAGGGCTTCATAAATGGAAAGGTGCTTTAATTGCTCATGGGTCCCTCATGCGGGATAATACATCAAACATGTCTGATGGGGTGATAAGCCCATTCATTCGAAGTTTTGAGCCTCTCGTTGCAAAACTTCGATCGAGGCCCTCCGACAAGACTTCATGTCAAATGACATTCCAAGTCCCTCAGGCGGCGCATTGAGTCCCTTGGGAAAGACTAGGTTGAGACCCTCGGGAAAGATTTTTAAGTCTCTTGGGCAAGACTTTGGTTGAGTCCCTTAGGCAAGATCTTAGATTGGACTTTGTCTGAAGAGACTCTAAGTCCCTCATGTGAGGCGATTAGATGAGCTTGTTTGATGAGACTCTAAGTCTTTCAGCCGAGATTATATGTTAAGCATGTCTGACGAGACTCTAAGTCCCTCAAGAGAGGTATTAAGTTTCTCGGGCAAGACTGTGTTCGAGACCCTCAGGAAATACTTTTAAGTCTCTCGGGTCAGACTTTAGTTGAGTCCCTTATTAGAACAAGATTTTGATTCTGCATATAATCTCTAGTTTTGATGATAACAATACATATAATTTTTATGTGACAATTATGTATTTTAATGAATTTCTTAAAGTATGTAGTTGCTTAGTGAAAACTGATTCTGGATAACTCTAAAGAATTTTAAATCAGAATCTCTTGCATGCCTCAAGAAATCTACTTTGTTCTTTTTTAAAGAAACATCAGCAGTCCTGATGAATGTTGAATGCCTCTAAAGAAAAGGAAAGATATGTGCTTCTAAGAAAAAGCTTCGCTTCTAGATCTGATAAATTGTTCTGAAGACCCTGAAGACAAGGTTCTGTTGAACGTGTTCTAAAGATTCTGAAGACAACACTTCTAAAGATTTTAAAGACACTGAAGACTCTGATATCACACAATCTTTTATCCTCTGGTCTTATCAAATAAAGTTGATCAGAAGATATTGACAAGACAGAAATGTGTGATTAAAGTATCAGTACATGTAGACATCCCTATATTGGTATAAATTGATTTTCAGTCAGTATTGTTGTATGGAATATGGTGAGACTTTGCTATTATTGTCTCTCATGGTTCCAATGTTACCGTCGCAACAGCTGGCTTGAATAGTTACGTTTGTACCCCTCAAGGTTCAAACATCCATCTATATAAAGAGATTAATCTTTGTTTCAATACACAACGATTAACACCAAAAAGAAGAGAAACATGCACAGTCTAAAATCTATACACAAGAGTTGTTGCTCATATTTGTGTAAAAACTTTGTTCTTAACATTGTTTCATTTTCTTTATAGAAGCATTATTGTAAACATATTTCTATATCTTCTCTGAATTTATTTTTCCTCGAGTGACTAAGTGTTAGTCTATAGACTTGAAATGGCTAAGGTGTTTTTCTAAATCCTTAGACGAACTTGTTGTAATCTTTTAAGATTAGTGAATTAAGTCCTTTTTTAAGGTGAAATCACCTTGGCGGGTGGACTAGAGTAACTTTGTTAACAGTGAACCAGAATAAAAATACTTGTGTCTTTTTATCTTCTTTCTCTTGGTAACTTTTGTGTAGAAGGTCAAAAAAGTTTACTTTTGTAAAAACCCAATTCAAACCTCATTTCTTGTGTTTTTCTCCACCTTCGTCCCTTAGGCGGGACCTTAGAATGGATCTTGTCTAAAGAGACTCTAAGTCCCACGGGCGAGGTAACCTATCCATATTACCCTTAAAGGGCGATAATGATATTACTGTGGAACTCCAAAATATTTGTATTTTAAGGGTAGCAAGGATCTTCTAGTGAAACACTAGCATATTCGTGTTTCCTTGAGAGACAACAAGGATCTTCCTATTGAATTATATCCTATTTATTTGCCTTGAGAGGCGGAAAGGATCTTCCTATCAAAGTCCAACATATTTGTGTTGCCTTGAGAGGTAGCAAGGATCTTCCTATGGAAGTCCAGTGTATTTGTGTTTCCTTTTGAGAGGTGACAAGGATTTTCTATTAAGGTCCAACATATTTAAATCTTGTGCACATAACTGCAAAAACTAAAATATTCTACTTGATCATAAATGTTTAAAAAATTTATACATAGGTGGGTGTCGTTTCCCCTCTGGAAACTCGTAAATAGTTTAACAGTAAAAATACTTTATGTGGATGGAATTCCAAGTCATGGGGACAAGTTTCCCATCCAATTCTTGAAACTTATAGCCTCTATGTGGCAGCCTCTAGAATATGTGATACGGCTTTTCCCAATTGGGTTACAATTTTCCCTTATGTGCAGAAAGAACCATTTTCCTCAGCACTAAATCACCCTCTTCTATTTCTCTTAGCATTACATTTTAATGACATCTTCTAGCCTCTTTTTTCTTGGTGGCAAACTTTTGGATGTGAGTGGCATCTCTTACTTCATCAATCAAATCATTGGCGCATTTTAACCCTGCATCATTTACTTCCTGTTTAAACTGAGAACTATGCCTTGAGGGTGTGTCGATCTCGACAAGAAACATAGCATCCACCCCATATACCATGGTAAATGAGGGTTTCCTTGGTGGTTGAATAGGGAGTGGTATAGTATGACCATCATATTTCGTGAAATAACTCGTCCCATAACCCCTTGGTGTCATCCAACTTCTTCTTTATCCCTTTTAGGGTCACCTTGTTTGTTGATTCTCTTGCCCATTGACTTGGGGATGGACAACAAATACAAACTTTGTTTGTACTCCTAACTCACAACAAAATTCAGTGATGATGGCACTGACGAACGATGTTCCAATGTTTGAGAGAATGACTCCTATAAACCTAAAAATGCACATGTTTTTATGCTTGTAGAAACACCAAACTCTCTATGTTATAATCTTGGCGGAAGTCTTCGCCTCTATCCACGTAGTGAAGTAATCTGTAACATCCTAATTTTTCCATACACTAAATAATATATCTAGTTAGATTTGAGATTTTAACAATGCTAGTTATTAAAAATTAAATGTTGAAACTAACACTTATAATAATTAATTTATTAATTAATTACTTTTTATATTTATTACTTTTATTCTTCAATTTGAATATCATCGTTTCATTTTATAAACTAAACTTTGAAATTTAAATTGGTACTTAAAACCCTTAACTTTAAGTTAATTAATTATTCATATTATTATTATCATTATTGTTGTTCTTGTTTTGTTATTATTAATTGATTTTATTTTATTTGAATATTATCATTTTACTCTATAAACCAATTAATAAATAAAATAATCTTAAGACAATAAAAATATCAAATAACTATCCTTTTTACTATTTTTATTATTATTAATATTATTAACATTTTACTTTTTATAAAAGAAATATATATCTCATTTTCTATTAATATCCTACATAATATTATGTCATGAAATCAAGCTCCCATACCTTTGTCATAAATTATTTTCACAAAGTCATACTAGAACACCTAAAGCACTATTGATGAAAGATTAGTAAATATTTGATAGAGACATATTTACTAGCAAGAGTTGAAAAGTTGGAAGGTATGGGCAAAAGATGATAAATTATGTTATTTTAATATTTTACAACTAGTATAAATAGGGGTCTCTTCCACCCCATTTTCATTCATTCATTCACAAATCATCTTTCTTACTTCTTTACTTCTTTCCTTCTCTAATTTCTTCATATAGCAATATTAGTTTTAGTTATCGAAGTTCCCACGATATCGGTTCGTAACCTTTAGAGTATTTTGTGGTAAAAGTTCTTCTAAAGTTTCAAGGGAGTTTTATACGTCAAAGTTCTGCCCAAATCATTTTCATAAGTAATCGGTAAGCCGTTATAATGTCCATTTTATTTTAATTATATTATTTTAATTATGTTATTTATATAAAGGTTATTTTAAATTTTCTATGCAAATTCCGTTCAGACGTCGATATATTGAACTTATAAAGTCCAAAATAAATTTTACCATTTTAAGTCGTTATAATGCCCAAATTTTATTATAATTTAAATGTTATTAGAAATATACTCTTGACAATTTTCTAAAACAAACAAATTCAAAAGGAGGTATAATATAATTTATATTTGAATTTAATAATTATTTTGGAGGTTATTATGATATATTTAAATAAATAAATATTTCAAGTTATAACGGGATTATGTTCAATTAACCATAAATTATATTCTAATTATTTCATAAATTTCGTACAATCCAACGGTTATCGTAAATTAGGTTCTTGGCAAAGATCGAAGACAACACTTGTGGACTT